AATGAAAGATATTAATGGTCAAACTTGTGCGCTGGCAAACGTAAAATGTTGGCTCCTGGAATTAAAAGGGAACGGAGGAAGTACTACGTAATTTTCTGGTCTGGTTTGTTAAAATATGCTCTAGTCTGGTTTGTACTATTTTGTTATGGTTTGATAGATATTTATTCTTTGCGTATGAGTCCAATTAAAAACATTCTAAGGCCTACAATAAAAAGAAAATAACCATGACACTACTTCATCTAATTATCATATCTTCCTCACATTATTTGCTCCTCCCTAATTCTCAATTTGTGTGTGTATATGGTACCAGATCTGTTCATCTCAATTCATTTATTCATGCTCATTTATGAATCAGTTGGTATCAAAGAGCCTTTATAGTTTATAAATACTACGTACCAATTTGACAATTCGGCCTATAAATGTCTATCACTTTATCAACCTAAGCTATCAAGGGTTCAATGGTTATTGATTGTGTTTTGGGCTAAAGACCTACCAATTGAATTAAAGATACGGATAAAACCCTTGGATGAAACTCCATGGAAGTTTGATACTTGAGAAAACTTCTTCAATATCAGTAAGCAATCATTTGAATTCAATGAGTTCTTGAATACCCAAAGATTGATCATATGAAGACACAGCAGGAGAGGATGAGACTAGAAACAGATAATCTACAATCCTGCTTAACGAGTATGCTGTATTGAAAATTGATGACATCCTATAGGTGAAACTGTACGAATTAACCATTGTATTAATTTGGAGGCTTTGGTTCCAAATATAAAATCGAGGCTCACATTAATATAAAAATTAAAAAAGATCTTAATCTAAATTATACTTAAATCAAATGAATACTCATTAAATATTGTAAAAAAAATCTAAAATGTACTTAATATTTGATTTAAAACAATACAACTCATTACTCAAACAATTTTTGTAAAAGAGGACCAAAAAAGAACTAACGAAAAATGATACTACGTATTACATTTTAATATGTGCGGTTTACATTTCCATATATGTGAGTTACATTTATACACGATTTCTATAGTTACATTTGATAATGGATAATGCATGAAGTTGCATTTTCTTATCCGCACTTTAGATCTTCATATGCGTGAGTTACATTTTGTTACACGCAAGTTACATATTCATGAATGTGAGTTACACTTGTAGAAAACTGGCTTATAGTGACACTTTCATAGTGATACTTTATGTTAAAATGGCACTGCTAACATAAAAGTGCCACTATTTCCTAACACAAATTTTTTAAAGAGTATTTGAACTACCTATTCTACTCATGGGCCGACATCTGACATTTCAACGCGATCGAGTTTTTAGACTTTACGTCTAAGTTTCCACCTACGCTTTCCCTTCTTTCCACCCTAATTCTTCCAGCTCCATCGATTATCGATTTCTTTGGCCTGGCCACGTGACTCCACCGCCGTCCTCCAACACAATTGGACGCACTACAATCGCCTGTATGCCATCGCTACTCGTCGGACGCCTGTAAACCGGAGCTTGTATGCCATCGCTACTCGTCGAACGCACTACAGCCGCCTGGTAGGCTAGACGCCATTGCAACTTGTATGATGCTCCTTACAACCTCGTGACCTCGCCCTAGCTACTTGCAGACTGAATCGACGAGTCTTCTGCTCCTTCTTTGGATTCTCTTGTGAACAAAGATGCTGACTGGTAGGTACTCGACCTCTCATTTCGTCCCTTTTCTTGTCTTAAATTCAACCCCAATATGCAAACTCCTCCCTTCTTAAGTTTCCTTATCCTCTAACCCTCTCGCCCTTCGTCATTTATGTTTTACGTAGAGAATGACCTAGCGCTACGCCAACTCACTTCTAAACCCTTCTTCTTCTCTTTTACTTTAAGTATAAAAATCGTTCCTCTTCTTAACATATCATAACCAAGTCTTCGATGAGGCAACTTGGACGGACATGGGCAATATGACATAACAACCACGGACACCTAGATTTCTTCATCGCAGGTATATGTTATCATTTTATTGTGAGTTTTAGATTGCCTCGTGTGTATAACAATCAAAATCCAGGGTTGTGTTGAATTTTCATTAATAATATTGTTTTGTTATTGATTATTTCAATTCAAATGTTCAATTTCCCTGAAATAATCTTTGTGGTAATTTTTATAAATATAAATTTCCTGCTCCTCTTTAAGTTCACAAGAATGTTTTCCTTTATGTTTTGGTTCTTTAATCATCCTATTGAATATGAAGAAGTAATTACTTAGGAAATGACTCAAGGTTTATTCATGAGATACTTCTTGATGGATTATAGGGTATCCAAAGTATATTAAAATGGAGAGATTTGAGCTAATGTGAGGAAGATGATAGAATAGTAGAGAGAAATGTGAATGAGTAAATTATGTTCTATGGTTACAAGAGCTCCCTATGGGAGTATAAATAGAGAAACGATGGGTCCGGTCGCTAATATGGGCCCGATAGGCCCATGTACATAAAAGGCTAATCTAGTGCATACAAATGATATAAATGGCGTCCGATAAGCGTGTGTGGGCCGTTGTCCGGGCCCAATGGTCGTGAGACCCGGGGGTCCGAGTCTACATACTCCATCACTTCTGAAATTACTCTAGCCATATTTCTTAATACTCTTTTCCATCGTTAACCTATTTTCAGGAGTTCTGGATAGCCTGAATAAAGTGTGTTAGGTAAGTATTGCTTTTTCACATTCTATTTTGTGTTACTTTTTGTATGTATATGAGTGTAGCTAGAGTGTTTGATTAAATGTTTGAAAGGTTATATATACTTTCTAATCATCTTGCATTCCGGGAGGTGAAGCAAGTTTGTTATATTTCGCGTAGGAAGATATATTATTAAGTTGCAGGGGATCATGTATCAACTGAAGAACCATTCTTACTTCTTTCATCACAGCTGCAAAGGTGTGTTATTGTTGGAGCTCTTAACAGTCTGACCTCGAGGCTTTATCCTATATACAATACTTCGCATCTGAGTGATTGTTTTTTTTAAATTGTATGTGTTACAAGAACAGTTGCAAGCTATTGCTTCCTCGGAGAGTATTTCTTCCTTGGTTAGCCAATATATATGTGTGTGAGTTGTGACTACTTGCAGCCATCTGAAATAATTGAGGTGCTTTTAATCTTTATTGCCCGTAAACTATAACCTGCAAACACTTAGAATCCTCCCCTCCTCCCCGACCTGCTTTGTTCTCAATTATTTGTTCATTGTGTTTCTATTAGATTGTCCGTTTGAGAAAGTTTGCATTTTCTTATTGTTAGTTTACAAATGTAATATCAACCCAGGTCTACTTAGAATGTTGATTAACATCAAACTGACTGCTTGTTACAACAGACTAGGAAATATGCAGGCCTTGACTATGCTCAAATTAGCCTTATTATTGTTGCAGTATATATGATGTTCTTGGTTTTGCTCAAATTAGCCTCACACATAACAACATTTCAGAAAATACAAGGTGAGTTACTTGGTTTTGCATATGTTGTTCTTGACTATGCTCAAATTAGCCTTATTATTGTTGCAGTATATATTTATATATTCTTTCTCTATTTATCTACGAATTGGTTTAGTCTTTAAACAGGTCGCTAGAGATGGTATTCTTTTTCCTCCTATAAGTCCTTTTACTCTAAAGTAAGGGTTTGAATACGTATAAATAATTTAATTCAAAAACTCTTGACTTTCAAAAAGCGATGGAATCTCTGCAATGTAGGCTCCATGTTGAAATTGTAGGATTATATGGATTAAATTAAACTGTATATCAAGGTATCATTCATATTCAACTCTGCGCTTCTTAGCTTCTGGCTTCTGCTACTCGCCCTTTGCCGGGTAAGTTTATTTTATTAAAAAATTTAGATTTTCAGCGTGCAAGTAGCATGTTGCCGCTAGTTTACTTGTGTAGTTGTGTTATGTTTTTGTAAATTTTGTTTATTTTCTTGTTAAGATTTTTGTATATATTAACTAAAGTATCTTTTATTTAATGATATTTTCCCATTCAAACTTGCATCGTTTAGTTTTGCAGAATTCCAGGAAATGATATGGGATTTTGGTGAGATATATGATATTTTTCTATGAATTAGTAAGCTTGAAATTGCAGGAAATAATATGGGATTTTTGTAGGCTAGTTTCAAATTATTGAAGTCTACTGTTTTTCCTACTTTGTGTCTTTGGTACATTGTTTTAACATACTTTCATTTATTTTCTTGCCATTGTTGGTACACCAGACTATATTTGACTTCTCATGTTTACTTATTTAATTTTAGAGTATACCATTGTAGATTATGTACATTTACAATTGTAAAGAATGATGATTTAAATTTAATGAAAATACTTGTTTGATGTTTTGATTATTTATTGGTAGCAAGGGATGTTTTGATTATTTATTGCTAATAAAACGTTTTGTATGATATATATGTAGAGTATATATATATATATATATATATATATATATATATATATATATATATATATATATATATATATATATATATATATATATATATATATATATATCATGTATTAGACACACACACACATATATAAAACATTTTGTATTGATATATAGACACACACACACACACACATATATACACACCTATCATACTAATGTATCATATATATTTATGATACCAGAGTGTCAAAAAAAGTCATGATATTTTGGACAATACCAGACTTCAAAATGACAGTATTTTCTAAATATGTCAGTAATTAATCATATTTTGAGAATAAAAAACATGACAGATATATTTTGAAATTTTAAAACCATTTTAATCATATTTTGGGAACTTTCTCAATTTTTTTGGGGTGTTAGGTGATAAGAGTATGATGCCCAACAAGTGTCCCCCTAATCTCCAAGGAGTTGGACTTGAGATACAAACTTTTTTTGTGTACACAGTTTTACACATATCAGTGCAGGTTTTATCTGTAACAGACAGAAAAAACTACGACTTGTAAAAGCTTGTACCTTTTGGAATTTTCCATCTCCAAGAGGGCGCGTTATCACTCTAACCGCTTGGGATTCTGGGGCGCAACCTGTAACAGATTTGGAATTAAGAAAAAACTCACGCGTCCACGCCCTTATCTCCGGTCTTTGTTGTTTCTTCCTGCAAAATCTAAAGCACGTACAAAACGTTTTCAGCTCCAATTGATTCCCTCTCTTTCTTCCTGTCCGTACACCCTCTGATACAGACACCCCGCCTCGAACAATCCTTTCATCGTTCTTTCTTTTCCCCATTAATATGCTCTGATTCTCTCTCTCTCACTCTCTATATATATTCACACCAGCCCCGTTCTCTCTCCCCCTCTATCTCTCACAACAGATTCTTCGTAGCGATTCATTTCATTATATCAGCTCTCTCTAGCGACGATGTTTGACCTTAATCTCGCTGATGAGGAACCGGTCCGCGATCGAGAGTCGACGCCGTCGGAGAAGCTACTTGAACTCTCCGGAACCTCGAATTCTTCAGTAGTGAATGCCGAGTCTTGCAGCATTGTCGGCGACGAGGACGAGTACTCCTGCTCCGACGGTTACGCGTTTCGTATACTGAGGAGGGACGAGGAAGGGAAGGAGTGCGAGGAGAGTGAGAATCGGGGTGGCTTTGAGACGAAGGACCTTTTTCCGGTGAGCGGGGGAGAGGCGGCGATGTTCCTGCAGCAACAGATACACGTACAACGCGATTGGTCGGGTCTCCCGCAGAATTATGGTGTAATGGCGGATCCGAGGATTATGATTGTGCCACAACAGAAACCGCATGTTAAGAAGAGTAGAAGAGGGCCGAGGTCCAGGAGTTCTCAGTACCGCGGAGTCACGTTCTATAGGAGAACCGGAAGATGGGAATCCCACATTTGGTAGGTGTATACCATTAGATGCTGGACGGTATCGTTTTGTTTTCGCGAGTAATCACTATTCGAATATGGTTTATCCATATGCTAATACTTGTTTAGTTGTTTAGGTTCCTGATTTCTACTCAATAGGAGTGACCGCGGACTTCAGAGTTTAGAGGAATCTCAGACTATTATACATTCTTTTGCAATCTAAAAACACAAATGATCACCGATGTCCATAAAGTGGTTGTCTATATGCATTATGATTTAAGAGACACCTCAGATGATTTCTGTTAATCCACAACATACGGAGTATAATTTAATTCTAATGTCAACACTGACGGCTACCTTTTTGTATGCAGGGACTGTGGGAAACAAGTTTACTTAGGTATGTAAATGTTTGTGGTATGTGAAATTAGTGAATTATTACTCCTGCATTTTGATGGATTTGTACTTACTTTGTGATGTAAATTTGAACTAATAGGAGGATTTGATACTGCTCATGCTGCTGCCAGGTAATTAATCTCTTTCTCCGGGCTCCTGCTTTATATTTTTCTTGTGGTTCGAACTTGTTGAGTTTAAAGTAATGAATGGCTGGAAGTAACTTGAAGAATGTCCACTAATATCAGGGCATATGATCGTGCTGCAATTAAGTTCCGTGGACTAGATGCCGATATTAATTTCAATGTCAGCGATTATGAAGAAGATCTTCAGCAGGTGCAGTAGAGTTTCACCAGAATGAATCTGATATCCCATCACAGTATTGTCATTGTTATTTTTTGAATGATATGCAGATGCAGAACTTCACAAAGGAAGAGTTTGTGCAAATACTACGTCGTCAGAGCACTGGGTTTTCCAGAGGGAGTTCGAAGTATCGGGGAGTTACACTGCACAAATGTGGACGGTGGGAGGCTAGAATGGGGCAATTCCTTGGAAAGAAGTAAGATGCTCTTTCTTTGATTTTTGGTTAAAATTGACTCCCTCTATAGTTTTATGTCATTAAACTGAATCCTTCTACTCTGTCAACTTATCATAAATCATAATACACTATGGTAGCATGTTCTTATTGCTTTGCACATATCATTTGGCTGCAGGTATATCTACCTGGGGTTATTTGACAGTGAGATTGAAGCTGCAAGGTTCTAACATTATAAGTTCATTATTTGTTTCTGTTGTATATATAATCCTGCCTCTCTACTTGGCCTTCACAGAACTTATTTACTTACAATAAGACTATGACTTTTTATTAGGGCATATGATAAGGCTGCCATAAAATTGAATGGGACGGAGGCAGTGACTAACTTTGAAGTAAGCTCATATGAAGGGGAGATGAGCTCCGAAATTGATAACGGAGGTACTACATTTTCTTGTTTGAAATGTTGCTTGTTAATGAAGCCCCGCCATAGTTTCTGCCTTATATGAGTAAATTGATTAATTGTTGCTTGTTTAGGTGCCAGCCAAGATTTGGATTTGCATTTGGGCATTGCTTCTACTAGTTGTGTTGATGGCATGGAGGCCCTACAATCACAATGTGGTTTCGCCAATCTGAAGCATATGGGATTCAGAGTAAGTGTATATATTCTCCTAATAGTTTATTTATTACTAGTAAAGACATTTGTAAATTTATTGTCAGTGTATTTGAAATCAGTTTAAAGAATATCCTTATCATGCAGGCATCTCCTTCAAGTAGAATGGGGTCTAAATTGCCGCATTGCTATGACTTGCTTCCTCAGCATCCACCGCTCTATAATGCAACAAACACCCCTTTCTGCCCCACTTACAAGGTATACCCTTTGTCTAGCATGGTTTAAAGGGTTAATGTACTATAATAGCATTGCCACACATGTGACTGCCTTTTTGAGCTAATGCACCCTTCGTTTGCTGATTATTCATTAACCTGCAATCCTTGCTATTTTTATATGTATGTTGCCCTTGTTATGGCTTACTGGACTCGGCCACATGCGCCACATATAGGCTCATTGTGTCAACCTTATAGTTAAGGAGTTAACTAGTGTGAACATTTTGCAACAGCTCTTGGTTCCGATATAAACTGTGAGCAGTGGAGATATAAAGAAAGTGCTATTAGTGTTTGCTCGGAACCCCGGGAAAAGCTAGACAAACAAAGTAGGGGGTGATAAAGGGGAAATTTGAATGGGGAAAAAAATCAAGGGGGTTCAAAAATTGGTTCAAACTCAATATCTCAGTTTCCTATGTTTGATTAAACTCATTTTTGTTTGAACATACTCCGTATGTATTATATAAAGACTATGAAACATAAATGTAGAGCACATGGTTAATTCTAAAAAGTTTTATCAGATTTTATTTCCAATTGTTGCTTACATACTTAACACACATAAAAAACTTTGGGACAAATAATGCGAACTAAAGTTTTTCTACAGCTAATTCCATGATCACTACAGTGGAAAAAACACAATCATAATTACTAAAGTTACCACTCCATAATATAGTCAAAATATAAGAGGTCACATTTTTGTTTAACATCCTTATTTTAGTCCTATATATGTCATTATTTCTTTTTCATAATCAATTTTCTCCTCATGCATCCCACTTACTTTCCTAGCTTGGGAGGAAATAGTGTTGATTTTAGAACTAATCAATTATTCATATATTAATATACATGCAGGGAAAATCAATGGAGAAGGGAAGGGAAAATGATCCTTCACCAAACTGGGCACAAGGTTACATCAGGACTCCCCCAGCAGCCCTTTTTTCTACTGCAGCATCATCAGGATTCGCTAATTCAAACTTTACTAATACTTCACCGGCTGCCAACCGGCTAACGCACTATTCTGGTGGACCACTTTCTCACCACAATGCTTCACCACCCATTCCAACTATGAACACCACTTCGCAGTTTTGGTGCCAGAGCTGAAGTAGTCAATTACGTGCTGCCGTCAATTCTTTCCTTTGTTTGGAGTAAATTGGATTCTGGTTTCTCATGGACCACACAACCCCGATTGGTCTCATTCATCTCCTTTTACTGCGATTTGGAAAACTGCTACATTTTTATTATTAGTGTAAAGTTCAACATTTTTAGCATTAGAGGGTACCATGATGCTCAATTTCATCCTTGTCTGGACTCTTTCAGAAACGCTTTTTTAATAACAGAAATGTTACTTCTGTGCTTTTTTTTCCTCCTTGGTTTGCTCATTTTTAGTATTGTTTTACCAAATGACAATTTATTATGGTTATATGTAGTCATAATTAATTACCCTCTAAAAGGGGGAAAATTTGAGGTAGTTTTTCCTGTAGATAATCATAATAGAATTATTAGATAATTAGTATTGTACTTTGCATTAAACTCTCCTATTATAAATATAACTGTCAGGCCTCCATCTAAAAATCTTATTCTCACACGGTATCAAGAGCGCACTAAAAACCTTTTTTTCTCTCTCCTTCTCTACGCTCGGTGCCTACCCTATTGCCGCTGCCGACTCCATCTAAGCCCGCCGCAGCTAGGTCTCATATCTTCTGCGCCAATTTCTTCTGCAGCGCCTCCTATGTCGACTTCGTCTGCCGCATCAAGCTCCTCCGTCGCAGCACCGGTCGCTTCGTCCGGCGGATTCACATCACTAGCGATCTCTAGCTTCGCCTCCCCAAGCTAGTTCTCCAGGCCCTATTCTCTGTTTCAGCACCTTCCGCCGACGTTCCCTTGGTCAGCACCAGTCTCGGTGCCGCAAGTTCCTCTTGAGCCGCCTCCATTCTCGGCTTCTTCGTTCGCAGGGTCCACCTTTGTTGGGTCGTCGGGGATTTCTTCTATCCGGACACCTGCAGGCAGCCCGTCCAACTCTCCACTGGCAGAACTTGCTCAGACCATATCACATGTCGCCACAAATGTCACCAACATTGTGACTACCAAGCTCCTAGCGGTGGAAGATTATACTACGTGGCGGACTCAATTTGAGTCGTTCCTTGTCTCGCAAGGGCTTCTTGGCATGGTGGATGGCTCAATTCAGGTACCTACCGCTTATTCCATAGATGTTCTTAACCGTCAATTTCCTAATCCCAACTTTTCTATTTGGCTGCGCATTGACCAAACCATCCGTTCATGGTTATTTGCCACTCTTTCTCGTGATGTTCTTATTGATGTTCGGGATTTAAAACATTCATGTGAAATTTAGGAACGGTTAGAATCTCGATTTATGACAACCAGTTTGGCCAGATCTATGGAATTAAATCGCTTATTTTCTCAAATTAAAAAGAAACCTTATCAGTCTATGGGTGATTATTTAAGGGAGATTAAAATTTTGGTTGATGATCTTGCTATTATTAATTGCCCTATTCCTCCTCGCGAAGTGCTCAAGACTACTATTATGGGTTTGGATTTTGAGTATGAATCTATGTTCACTACTGTCTCACTATTCCGTGACAATTTCTCGTTTGAGAAACTTCGCAATCATCTCCTTGAACAAGAGCATCGAGTTCTTTATCTCCGCTCCCAGGGCAAGTCATTCCATCAGGCCTTTGGTGTTGCCACATCCTTTCCCGGACAGCCCGCCGCATCACATCCGAGCCAGCAGATGCAGGACCATCATCCGCAGGGTGGACAGCAGCAGCGCCCCTCTGGTCAGCCGCACCGGGGCCGTGGACGCGGTCGCGACAGGGGGCGCGGTGGCAGGGCAGAGGCCAAGGACAGCAGACCGCAGCAGACTCACGTGGGCTACACCGCGGCAAGGGGTGGATCCTCCGTTCCGGTTGGGCATGCTCCACATCCAGGGGGTGTGCAAACTACGGGTACTGTCATTTGTAATTCTACCATGTCGCATTTAAATATTAATGCATTACATGTTGGTGTTACTAACCCTAGGTTTGCAGGCTTACCATCAGATGGGGGCATTCTTGGTTCTGTTCCCCATCATGTTGTGTGTCAAATTTGCTTTTCTGCAGGTCATTCTGTTGTTACCTGTCCCTCGCATTTTACTCAGCCCTCTGCACCTACTCTGTTGACTACTCCTAGAGAATCTAATTCGGCTATATGGTATCCCGATTCTGGAGCTTCGGCTCACATGACTGCATCTGAAGGTATTTTGATAAATAAATCTGCTTATACGGGCTATAATTCTGTTAGTGTCGTTAATGGTGCCCATTTACCCATTTGTCATATTGGTGATGTTGCATTACCGTCATTTGACCGTTCTCTCACTTTAAAATCTGTTTATCATGTGCCTGAGTTAAAATATAATTTAATTTCTATTAAGCGGCTCTGCGCAGATAATAATTGTACTGTCATTTTTGATAAAAATTCCTTTTAAATTAAGGACAAGGCCTCGGGGACGGTGCTTCTGCGAGCTACCAGTAGTGGACCTCTCTATCCTCTCCGTTTGTCAGATTCCCCATCCGTAGCTTTAGCATCTGTTTTAGTTTCTGGCCCTGTGTGACATCGTAGATTAGGTCATTGTGGTGATTCTATTTTACAGTTTCTTAAACGAAACCAATTTTTATGTACTCATACCCCTTTTACTCATGAATGTGTTGCGTGCCGGTTAGGAAAATCACAACGTTTGCCCTTTACGGATGCTTGTCATAATTCTTCTCTTCCTTTACAACTTATTCATTCTGATGTATGGCAATCTCCGGTTCGATCAAATTTGGGTTTTAAATATTATGTTTGTTTTATTGATGATTTTTCTCGGTTTACTTGGATATATCCCATGTGTCACAAAAGTGAGGTAGCTGTACTTTTTAAAAATTTTAAAGCTTTGGTTGAAAATCTTTTTAATCAGAAAATAAAAATTTTTCAAAGTGATGGGGGCGGTGAATTTGTTAATCATACTATGCAACAATTTTTTAATGATAATGGCATTTATTTTCAAAAATCTTGCCCTGACACTCCTCAACAAAATGGGGATGCTGAAAGAAAGCACTGTCATCTTCTTGAATTAACTCGGACTATGCTTCTTGAAGCATCTGTTCCTAGTCAATATTGGGTTGATGTTATTTTCACCACTGCATATATCATTAATAGATTACCGTCTCCTACACTAAAGTGTATTTCTCCCTATCAAAAACTTTTCACCGTGTTCCTGACTATTCTTTTATGCGTGTTTTCGGTTGCGCATGCTATACGATTTTTTCAGCCACTTCGGCTAACAAACTTTCCCCTCAGTCTATCCAATGTGTTTTTCTTGGCTATGCATCTGGCTATAAGGGCTATCGTTGCTTTGATCCTATTACCGGTCGTGTCTATGTGAGTCGTCAAGTTAGGTTCCACGAGGATACTTATCCCTTTAAAACCCTTCAACCATCTAGACCATCCCTTCCACTCACCCAACCACCCTTTACCATGCCCCTCACCAGGTACACGGCTGACCCCACGCCACCGGCTCAAACTCCAGCCAGCCATCTGCTCTCTGTTGCAGACACGCCCCACGTCAACCCTCCTCCATCACCTTTAGAACCTGCCAATAGAACACCCACCTTACCCAGCTCTTCGCAGTCTTCTTCCTCCCGGTCGCCCAGCTCCACGCCATTGTCCAGCCGATCCTCCACCACCTCCTTCCATTTAGAATCTAATGTTCGGTCTCCACCTTCCACTCCGTCTGCCCACAGTGTTACTCCTCAACCCGACTCCGTTTCCTCTCCACCAAATTCAATTGTGCCTGCAACTGTCTCTAATCAACACCCCATGCAGACCTGTGCCAAGGCCGACATTTTTAAACCTAAGACCATATTTAATTTAAGTACGGTTGTTACTCCTGCTGATCCCACCTGTTTTACTGAGGTTAATAAACATTTAAAATGGCGAGAAGCAATGGCTGATGAATTTAATGCACTCATTAATAATAATACTTGGGATCCGGTGCCTTTTAGCAATACTAAGAATATTGTTGGATGTAAGTGGATTTATAAAACAAAATATCATTCTGATGGTTATGTTGGGCACCATAAAGCTAGACTAGTTGCTCAAGGGTTTAATCAACAGGCTGATATTGATTTTTCTGAAACGTTTAGTCCTGTCATTAAACTCACCACTGTTCGTATTGTTCTTACATTAGTTGTATCTTTTGGTTGGGTTATTCGTCAACTTGATGTTAAAAATGCCTTTCTACATGGTCACCTGACAGAAGAAGACTATATGCGTCGGCCACATGGTTTTATTCATCCTCAATTTCCTAATCACATATGTCGTTTGAGCAAGGCTATTTAGGTCTTAAGCAAGCACCACGGGCTTGGTTTCATCGGTTTAGTAGTTTTTTGCTACAACATAATTTTATCTGTAGTAAATCTGATAATTCATTGTTTATTTTTCGTCATAATAATTCTATCATCTATTTATTACTATAGGTAGATGATATTATTATTACAAGTATTTCCGAGTCTACCATTACCCAGTTTATATCCGTTATTTCTCAACACTTTGCCATGAAGGATTTGGGTAATCTTCATTATTTCTTAGGTCTTGAGGCAATTCGTTCTCCTAAAGGTTTGTTTCTCTCTCAACACAAATATGTCTCTGATCTTATAACCAGTTTTCATCTCCATACGGTTAAACCTGTTTGCACCCCTTTGGCTTCTCGTACTACTCTGTCTCTTTCTGATGGTGAGTTACTTGCGGACTCTACTGAGTATCACAGCATGGTAGGTGTGTTACAATATTTAACTTTGACAAGGCCAGATATTACTTATGAAGTACACCTAGTCTCCCAGTTCATGCATGCACCCCGTACTACTCATCTATTTGCAGTCAAAAGAATTTTAAGGTACTTACAGGGGACACGTGACCATGGGGTGTGGCTCCAGCGTTCTACTTGACCCACATGTGTTGTTGCCTATTCTGTTGCGGACTGGGCTGGTTGTCCTGATACCTCACGATCTACTACTGGCTTTGCTGTCTTCTTGGGTCCTAATTTAATCTCTTGGAAATCCAAGAAACAGCCTACCGTCTCAAAGTCATCTATAGAGGCAGAATATCGTGCTATTGCATATACAGTTCAGGATACCCTCCACATCAGATCTGTTCTTTTTGAGCTCGGCTACCCTATCAAGGAACCAGTACATCTTTTATGTGATAATATTTCAGCTTCCTATTTGACTGCAAATCCTATCTAGCAGCTAGGAGTAAGCATATACAAATTGATTATCATTTTGTTCGCGAACGTGTTGCTCATGGAGATCTGATTGTTCAG